ATGAAGACTCCCAGTTGCAGAAAAGTATTTTGTGCAGAAATATGACAGACACTAGTCTTAGCACTTTGTTCTGTTCTGCTTTGCAATGAGCCTCTGTCAGGCTTTATTATGGCAACACCTTGCAGATATCAAAATATAAAACTTAAAAGATTGCAATGTTTTATACCAAACTCGAAATATGTGGTAGTCGAGGTGTGATGGAGGGAAGTGGTGGGGCGTGGTGATGGGTAGTCACAGGGGTGGGAATGACTTTTGTTCGTGTAAAGACTCATTTATTTTTGCCTATCTATGTATTTCATTTTCTTTCATTTTCTTTTTTCCCCTGTAACATCAAAATTCAATAAAACAAACAGTAAATATGTTACAAACACAATATTCAGTTATAATAATTCAAGGAATAGAATAGAAAATAAAAAGGATGAAACAGAATTTTTTTTGAATATGCTAATAAGCCAGGTAAATTACTGGCATGGCAGTTAAGGAGAAAACAGCATAAATTTAATTAATAAATTAAATGTAGTGGGGAAAGTAAAAGATAATCCGAAAGATGCACAAAGGCAATTTGTAAGATATTATACAGAACTGTACCGAGCAAGTTCTGAAAATAAAGAGAAAATTAAAGAATATTTAAAACAAAAAAATTCCAAAAGAAAAAATAGATTTTCTAAATGCACCATTATTGAGATAGGAGGTACAAGAGGCAATTACAGAAGCTAAAATAGGTAAAACGCCAGGGCTAGATGGACTGTCAGCAAAGTACTATTAAAAAATTGCAGGACCTACTGGTACAACCACTTAAATAGTTAATGAATGAGATACCAGTGACTGGGGAAACACCAGAGTTCTGAAAAGAGGCCTATATCACATTGATTCTGAAGAAGAATGCTGTCTCACTTTTAGTTAAAAATTATAGGCCAATTTCTTTTTTAAAATAATAATTATAAATTATCTGCCAACATGCTAACCAAATGAAGAGGGTTTTAGTGGACTTAATTCATCAAGATCAAGCAGGTTTTTTGCCAGGCCACCAGATGAAGGATAATATAAGAAATATCATTGATATCATAGACTATCTAGAGGTCAGGAATGAGAAACAAGCAGCTTTAACGTTCATAGATGCAGAAAAGGCCTTTGATAATATTTAATTGACTTTTATGAAGAAGATAGAAATGATGAACTTCAGGGAGGCTTTTGGTAGAGGTATAGAGGCAATTTACTCAGACCAACAACCTATGCTGATTGTGAATAATAGGATTACGGAAAAATGTAAAATAATGAAAAGGACAAAGCAAGGGTGCCCCCTGTCACCATTATTATTTATTTTGGTGATAGAGACCTTAGCGAGAAAAATACGATTATCTTCCTTATGGCGTGTTTCATCTCCTTTCATTGGTATAAGTTCTCCCTTCCAGATCAGGTGAAAGCAAGCATGCTCCCTCTTCCATGTGACAGCCCTTGAGATATTTGAAGACGGCTCTCATATCTCCCCCAGTTCCCTCTTTTCCAGAATAAAAATACCCAACTCCTTCAACCACTCCTCATAAGGCTTGGTTTCCAGACCCTTGCTCATCTTGGTTCTTCTCCTCTGCACACATTCCAGTTTTGAGAATCCAAGTAAGACCCTCCCTTTCTCTCCTTATTGCTAAAAAAATTTACCAAAGCACAATATATATTTTGTAATGAAGAGGCATTATAATCCAATGCAGAAAACCCAGCTATTTCACAGTTTATTAGGAATTACTTTAACTTATAGACCAGCTAGCCAGTTTTTAAGGAATCAGTTGAATGTCACAATGCCATATAATTATAAAGAGCTCAGGGGAGGTTCTTGAGTATAGCTGATTTTTATGTCCGTCTCCACCAGAATGCAAAGATAAATTCTCCTCCAGTGGAAATGTAGCAAACTGACGCCTTTTGGGCAGTGTTATTTTTGCCCTCTACTGTCTTTTTGTGAGCTTGCTTTTGGATCCACAGGTGCCAGTAATGATGATACCAGTTCAAACAACACAGTTATCCAGGCCAGACCCATGACGATCCAAAAGGATGCGACCGTCCGGTAGCCCGGAATATACGTCCTGTCATGCTTCCTCCCTGAAAACACAGAGAAAAGCAACAATAATGTGTGGGGAGGTGATTTAAGGACTCACCAATTCAGTTTATCTAAACTTTGTTAGCTCACATTCACACCATACATTTAAAAGACATTTCTACCACTGAATTGTGAGAAGATGAACACAGGAAACTGCCAATGTCTTTATAATTGCCTATTCGTGGCGGTTTGGGCTCATGATGATGTTTGAGCCTGTAAAGGCTTTGGTGTGGTTGCACTACCAAATTTCCAATCAGTGCACATCCTGTAACTTCCTGCTTAATAATAGTAATAACAATAATAATAATTTTATTTGTACCCCACCCATCTGACTGGGTTTCCCCAGCCACTCTGGGAGCATATATCAAAACATTATAAAACATACAACATTACAAACTTCCCTATACAGGGCTGCCTTCAGATGTCTTCTAAAGGTTTTGTCGTTCTTTATCTTCTTGACATCTTCCTGGTTCCTTGTAACCTCACTTCTTGCAGTGAGGGACCCACCACAGATGGACCTCAGTGTCTGGGCTGAACAATGGGGGTGGAGTTGCAGTTCCAACCAAGAGAAAGGTGCAAAATCACTGTCCAGGAAAACATACTGGGCATTTTCTTTTCTTTCATGTTTGATGCATCCAGCCCAACCTTCTGCAATGCAGGAATCTCAGCTAAAGCATTCATGACAGATGGCCATCCAACCTCTGCTTAAAATCCCCCAGGGAAAGGGTCCACCACCTCTCATGGGAGTCCATTGCACAGCCGAACCGCTCTTTCTGTCTGAAAGGCCCTTGATCATCTTGGCTGACCTTCTCTGCACATGTTCCAGCTTGTCAACAGCTTTCTTAAACTGTGGTGCCCAGAACTGGACACAGTATTCTAGGTGTGGTTTGACCAAGGCAGGATAGAGAAGTACTATTCTCTTGATCTGGACACTGTACTTCTGTTGATGCAGCCTAGAATACTGTTAGCTTTTTTTTGCTACTGCATCACACGCTTGACTCATTTTAAGCTTGTGGTCCACCAAGACCCCTAGATCCTTTTCACATGTACTGCTAGTAAACCAGGTGTCCCCCATCCTGTATTTGTGCTGCTGGTTCTCCTTGACTAAGCGCAGAACCTTACATTTGTCCCTAATGAAATGCATTTGTTAGCTTGTGCCCAGTTCTCCAATCTGTTAAGGTCATTTTGAATTGATTCTGTCTTCTGTAGCATTAGCTACCCCTCCGAGTTCAGTGTCAGCTGTACATTTGAGAAGCATCCTCTCAATTCATTCAACCAAGCATTTATAAAGTCGTTGAACAACAACAGGCCCAGAACAGAACCTGGTGGCACCCTACTTGTCACTGAACTGAGCTTTCATATTTTTCAGTAGAACAGATTGGTTCCCACTAATACCTTGAGGCCACAGATGACCTAGCTTTATCTCTGAAACCAGTTAAGCTCACAATATGAAAGTATTTTGAAAGCCTTACCTATTAGATAGTCTCCAAAACCAATGGTGCTGAGGGTAATAAATGTATAATAGACAGCTTCATAATAAGCCCAGCCCTCCATCCATTGAAAGAAGAATGATGGCAAAATAAGAAACATTAGAAGTCCCAGAACCACGAAGACGAAAATGTATCTTCCTGATTTCTGAAAGATAAAGCAAAAAAAGAAAAGACAAGGGCACTTTGATGCAACAGAGCTCAGTTCTCTTGACCTTCAGCCATGCATAGGGATTTCGACTTCATTTGGAGCACAATACCCAGTTCTCTGTTCACATGCAATTGCTTGGTTCACATCTTCTCACTTGGAGCCTGCCTGCATTCTTTTCTTTTGGGTTGCTGTGTGGGTAACCTCCAATCTAGGAAGCTCCTTTTAAATTTCTCCAAGACACGCTCCAGGAGAGGAGATGGTGGCTGGTTTGGCCACAAACTAAGGCATGGTTTGGCTTAGCATGCTGTCCAAACTCAGGCTCATTTTTTGTGCCTGCAGACAAACCACAAGCTGTAAACAAAACAGAAACCTTCATTTTAGAAAGAGGCAAGTATCTAAAAGCCTTGGTCTGTCGTAATCCTGTGTTAACTTGGCAAACTTGATTTTCTAAACATTGAAAAAAAATGGTGAGGATTCAATTTTTGTTCAGTTGTATGTTGTTGCATATACCCTCACACCCACGAACCCATGAGTTTCTCTCATTTCTGTTTGAAGGCAGAGCTCAAATTTGCCTTCCTCAATTATTTAGAGGGCATCATGCACATGTCTAATTTATTCTTGTCTTGCTCCTAATATAAAAGCAGCTAATTATACAGTGGTACCTTGGGTTGTGGGACGCGGGTGGCGCTGTGGGTAAAAGCCTCAGTGCCTAGGGCTTGCCGATCGCATGGTCGGCGGTTCGAATCCCCGCAGCGGGGTGCGCTCCCGTTGTTCGGTCCCAGCGCCTGCCAACCTAGCAGTTCGAAAGCACCCCCAGGTGCAAGTAGATAAATAGGGACCGCTTACTAGTGGGAAGGTAAACGGCGTTTCCGTGTGCGGCTCTGGCTCGCCAGATGCAGCTTTGTCATGCTGGCCACGTGACCCGGAAGTGTCTCCGGACAGTGCTGGCCCCCGGCCTCTTGAGTGAGATGGGCGCACAACCCTAGATTCTGTCAAGACTGGCCCGTACGGGCAGGGGTACCTTTACCTTTTTACCTTGGGTTACGAACTTAATTCGTTCCGGAGATCCGTTCTTAACCCAAAACCGTTCTTAACCTGAGGTACCACTTTAGCTAATGAGGCCTCCTGCTGTGAAATATAATAGATATAAGAAGAGCCCTGCTGGATCAGGCAAGGGCCCTTCTAGTTGAGGATTCTGTTCTCATCGAAGCTGACCAGATGCCCGCAGGAAACCTGCAAACAGGACCTGAGTGCTGTCTATGTCTATAGCAGTCTATGTCGGCCTCAGTCTTGTGACTGCTAGATTAGAAACCATCTCTAGATAAAGTAACTGAATTACCTTGTTTTTTTTCCGATACACTTGCTCTGTACACCATTTAAAGATCCCTGAGACTAAAAAGCCAATATAGTTCAAGCAGATGAGGTAGAAGGGAATTCCAAAGAGAGCAAAAATAACACAAAAGATCTGACCTTCTTTCGTTCGGGGACAGAGATATCCATAGCCTGTTGAAAGATTAAGAAAGAGTTGAAAAGGACGTCAGCACCTGTCGATTTGCCAATTACCTTCAGATTTTTCAATTTTTCAAAATTTGTGACACAGTTATTGGATTAAAAAATGAATTACAAAATACTTATTTCTTTTGGGATAAATTATGAAATGTCTTTGGTGATGAAATAGGGCAAGGAAGGAGTATCTTAGATAGAAGAACCCCAAATGTGCCCAGATACCCCATAATAGCCCTGAAGGTAAGTCTTCAGGGCATCTGCAGTGAGGAAAGAACAGAGTTCCTCCATTCATTACCATCATGGCTAGAATCAGTTGCAATTCCCAAGTCCCTAAAGACTTTCAAGAATGCTCTAAGAATATGATTGCTCTCTCTGTGTGTTTCCTCTTTACTTTTTCTTTATATTAGTTTGTTTTTTATTGCATTGTACAGTATGTTGAAAAGTTTCAATAAATAAGCAACAGGCTCCATGTATCTGTAAGGAGCAGACTGAGTTGTTTTCAGCTGAGATCCTATGAAGATTTTGCCAAGCACCAGGAATAATCAGAGACCCAATTAGAAAACTAATAGTATCTACTGATCCAAATTCACAAGTGGACTGAGCCAAGAAATGAAGCCTCCTGAGATACCTCAAGTTCAAAAGCTGAGAAACAGATAGGCCCTTTTCTTGGGTCTCAGAAGCTGCAGCTTTATGGCCTGAACTCAAAGTACCAGTTAGTTTATCCCTAGCACACTTGAATCAACTGCTTGTGCTTCACACCAGAAAGCTTCACTAGAGCTTACCAAACTGTGTGTCGTGACACATTAGTGTGTGGGCTGCAGTGTTCAGGCGTGTCATGTGAATGCTAGAGAGGGGTTAGTTTAACCACCAGTTCACTAGCAAAAGTCAATTACTGTGTCACAATTTGAAGCATGTATAAAAAAGTGTGTCACCAACGTGAAAAGTTTTGAAAGCTCTGAATTAAACAATACTAATAAGGTATGTTCTCCCACTCATTCAGTGCATGGTTTTCTGCATTGAAGGCATTCATCCAGACAAAAAGGGTGTGTGGTTTCTTGTGTATTGTGTAGATTACTGGAAAGAAGTTGCAATCCTATGCAAATATATTGGGGAGCAAGTCCCACTGAATGCATAGGGTTGTGCTGAGAAGGACGGATTTGCATTGGGAGACTGGCATTGGGTCAGTTGCACCTGGTGGGATTTGAACTCGTTTCCTAGCCCAACTACTTTCCACAGGGTGGTTTTAATAATGGGTTGACCCCAGAAGGGTGGGGAATAAATAACCAAGCAGGGAATGGTCTTGTTGGGCATATAATAAATGAACTATTTATTTGGCCAGAAAGGGCAAGACAAAGATGAGATGTGAAGGATGATGAAGGAGCAAAAGCAAAGCCTGCAGCTTTACACAATTTATCTGAGAGCAGTTGAATGCCCTGCATACTATATTCGGGGAGAAGCCAGAACCAAATGACAGTACCTATTGTGCATAACATAGTGCCCACGAAGAAGAAAGAATTAGCGAAATTCCAGCTGCCTTGTTTGTCATGAGGTTTGGTTCCTACTGGATCTATTCCCATCTGAACAGCTGTTATCAGTTTCTGCAATTAAAGGCAAGGCTCAGTTTGAATATTCCAACCATAAGAATAGCCCCTCCTCTGATTATCACCAGATACTGCTAACCAAATCTCTATGCATTCACAAGGGACATTCTTGTGGATCAGTTCAGCACGTTCTTCCCCCAGTGGCCAGCCCAGTGCTCATGGGAAGCCCACAAACAGGACCTGAGCACAACAGCCCTCCCCTCACTTGTCACCCCCAGTAACTGGTAGGCATAGGGCTTATGCACACTCAACTTTTCCTCCACTTTTTCCAGGCAAAGGTCCGCACTCCAAGGGGTGCTTGTTGTGGTTCGCACCAAGCTTTCCCAGTGAAAACTGTGGTCTATGTATGGGTTGTTGAGAGTGATTCAGTGGTTTCACCCTCAAAGCTTAGTGATAAAGTAGACTCCTTACACAAGACTTGAAAACAAGTCTTGACTGGTCAGGATGGCAACAAGGGCTTTTTTCAGCAGGAACTCTCTGGAACTCAGTTCTGGCACCTCTCAAGTGGGCGCCTTTGCCATTATAGGAGAAGGAGGGAGGTGTTCATGGTGAGTTCCGGGAACTTCCGACACCTCTTTTCCTAGAAAAATAGCCTGATGACAACTGAATAACAAGCTGTATTGTTTATATCTCAAGTTCAATACTAAGTGTTTCTCTCCCTTGACCCCAAGAGAGATTTTGTTCTTCTTGCTCCAAAAACACACTTTTGTAGCAATGCATATATTATTACCCCTTGGCTTGCCTGTCTTCATAAATTCTTTTGGACAGAGTCTGCTTGGAGTATTGGCTCTCCCATATTCTCAGTCAACAAAACAACGGTGAGACTACCCCATCTCCCACCCTCTGTTCTAAGGCAGAAACACACTTTTCTTTTTTCTTTTTTTATAAAATGTTTTATTAAATTTTCTTTCAAACAGTCAGAAATTTACAGAATAAAGAAAAAAGAAAAGAACAAAGAGAAAAAGAAATACATAAAATCCAACTTTCCAGAATATTTTTACCATTCCAACTGGACTTCCCCACATCTTCCGAACCCTGCGTTCTTTGCAATAAAAACATCAGCAATTTGTTACCTTTTTTCATGTCTTACTGTATCTTTCAAATATTATGTTTCTAAATTCAAAATACTGTGTCTCAGTTGTTTGTACCTTAAAATAAACATAATATAGTTATTTCATGTTGTCCACCTCGTCTTTCTTATAACTTAGTTTCCAATTCACCTAATCGAGTTGCTGAAGCAAAAGTTTCCTAATCATACACATTCTTAACATTCATACAGCTTATAATGTTTTTGCAAATAGTCCTTAAATTTTTTCCAGTCCTCCTCCATTATTTCCTCTCCCAAATCTCGGATTCTGCCAGTCATTTCAGCCAATTCCATGTAATCCATCAACTGCGTCTGCCATTCCTCCAGCGTGGGTAAATCTTGTGTCTTCCAGTACTTTGCGATGAGGATTCTTGCTGCTGTAGTAGCATACATAAACAAAGATCTATCCTTCTTTGACACCTTCTGGTCCACCATGCCCAGGAGGAAGGCCTCTGGTTTCTTGGGAAAGGTATATCTAAATACCTTTTTTAACTCATTGTAAATCACTTCCCAGAAGGCCTTCACTTTTGGGCAGGTCCACCAGAGGTGAAAGAATGTCCCTTCCGCCTCCTTACATTTCCAACATTTGTTATCAGACAGGTGATATATCTTAGCCAGCTTAACTGGAGTCAAGTACCACCGGTATATCATTTTCATAATGTTTTCCTTCAAGGCATTACATGCCGTGAACTTCATTCCGGTGTTCCATAACCTTTCCCAGTCCTCAAACATAATGTTGTGCCCAATGTCCTGTGCCCACTTTATCATGGCGGATTTTACTGTCTCATCCTGTGTGTTCCATTTAAGCAGCAAGTTGTACATTCTCAAAAGTATCTTAGTTTTTGGTTCTAACAGTTCCGTCTCTAGTTTCGATTTTTCCACCTGGAAACCAACCTTTTTGTCTATTTTAAAAGCCTCTTGAATCTGAGCATAGTGTAGCCAGTCTCGCACCTTATTTTTTAATTTCTCCTGGCTCTGCAACCTCCAATTGTCTCCAGTTTTTTCAATTATTTCCCAATATTTCGGCCAGTAAGCCTCCATGTTGGGTCTTTTTCGAGCCTTAGCCTCCACCGGTGAAATCCACCTCGGGGTCTTACACTCTAGTAAGTCTTTGTACTTCATCCAGACCATAAATATTGCTCTTCTGACAATATGGTTTTTAAACAGTTTATGAACTTTAACCTTGTCGTACCACAATTATGCATGCCAACCAAAAGCATTGTCAAACCCTTCCAGATCTAGGACATCAGTGTTCTCCAACAAAAACCAATCCTTCAACCAACAGAAGGCTGCAGATTCATAATACAACCTCAAGTCTGGCAGGGCAAACCCCCCTCTTTCTTTCGAGTCAGTTAGTAGGCAGAAACACACTTTTCAAGGCAGTTAACCAGACAATGATTCAGCTTTCCTGTGACCTTGAACAGAGTCACCTGTTTTGCAGCTGCTATATGACGTATGTTAAATTATTCCTAAAGAAGGCTGATCACCAAAGAATTGATGCTTTTGAGTTATGGTGCTAGAGGAGACTCTTGAGAGTCCCATGGACTGCAAGAAGATCAAACATATCCATTCTTAAGGAAATCAGCCCTGAGTGCTCACTGGAAGGACAAATTGTGAAGCTGAGGCTCCAATACTTTGGCCACCTCATGAGAAGAGAAGCCTCCCTGGGAAAGACCCTGATGTTGGGAAAGATGGAGGGCACAAGGAGAAGGGGACGACAGAGGACGAGACGGTTGGACAGTGTTCTCGAAGCTACAAACATGAGTCTGACCAAACTGCGGGAGGCAGTGGAAGACAGAAGTGCCTGGCGTGCTCTGGTCCAGGGGGTCACGGAGAGACGGACACGACTAAACGACTAAACAACAACAAATTATTCTTTGCAAAATATGTTTCCCATCAAATACAGTACAAATACTAACAAAAACCTGCTCTTTATAGCTGAATCAGAGTAAACGTCAATTTGGGTTTACAATGGATTGCTGTTAACAAGCTGGTTTTCACAAGGAAAGCCCCAGAGCAACAAAATGGTGCTCAGACATGGAGCTTTAAATCATGGCCAGGCCTGGAAAGAGTGGAGGAAAGCTCAGTGTGGAGAAGCCCATGCTGCCTCCAACAGTGTTGGCAGAGCACAGCCATAATGTCTAGTAGTCATTCCTTGTCTTATCCTCCAACAATCTGCCTAATCCTCCATGGGGATAAATTTTCATATACAGAAGGAAGGGTGAGTCCTTATGGCTTTATGCTGGCCACTGATTCGGTCCCCACCTCAGTTCTCACCTCCTAAACTGGACCCCCCCCCCTTATATATTTTCTGACCTCCTAACCTCTGGTGTCATGCCACGGTCATCCCTTTCAGTCTTGCTGAAGTAATGCCTTACCTGTATGAAATACTCCACATCTTCTGGGCTGAGATTGGGGTAGTTCGAAAAAAATTCCCCTTTCAGGCGAAAAATTTCATCTTTTACAAACTTGTGGTGATCATTCTCCAGAATCTCGAAGACGAAGGAACCCATCACCACGTAAGTCATGAAGCCAGCCAGCAGTAGGATGCCCTGAACCCTGTTCACACGCATGTTGTTCTGTGTGAGAATGAGCGCCACAGAAGAAGCAGACACAAGAGCAACTATAGTTTAGTCAGCAAGTCCTTTTTGTCTTGACCCAGACTCAAGCATACAGCCCCATAGCTGGGCACTCTCCATAGCTGGGCCCAAGCTAACCAAATGAATTTCAGTAGGGACAAATGTACGGTTCTGCACTTAGGCAGGAAGAACCAGATGCACAAATAGAAGATGGGGGACACATGGCTAAGTAGCAGTACATGTGAACAGGATCCAGGGTTCTTGGTGGACCACAAGCTGAACATGAGTCAACAGTGTGATATTAATACCACGAGATTTATCTAAATTAGCATCATTAAACATCAACAAAATATATCATGAGGTATCAGTGGATATCGACAAATGGCAGTCATTGAACCTGACTCTGTGGGGGAAAGTCAGTGCTCTTAAAATGAACATAATAGCTAGACTAGTTTAAATCTTAAGAGGAATTCCAATTGACATACCAAGAAAGGAAGAGGAAGAGGTGGATGAATTTGGGTATATTAATGTTAGACCAGATGATAAAGAGGATGTATTATATATATTCTGTTTTAGGAGACAGATACAGATTACCTACAAATGCTCAATGGCACTATCTCCAGATTGATTAATTCTCATTGCAACAAAAAAGGGCCATCAACATATATAAATCTTTGTTACTAGCAAACCATTTGATATACAGGTATTGGGGGAGGGATGGAATAAAGAATTAGGGACCTCAGTTTTGAGCTCACAGTGGGAAACTCTTTTTAAGTGCTTTAACAGGGGTTCTCTGGACCTTAAATTGAGGTTCATACAACAAAAAATAATATTTTGAATATACTGGACCCCATTACGTTTGTTTAAAAAAGGGCTATCTAAGGTATCTAACTGTTGGAGGTGCAATCGGTACAATGTTTTCCCAAAACCTATGTGTTTTTCATTGTCCTATATTGAAAGATTTTAGGCAGATGGTAACAGAAACTATCAACAGAACTGTACGGAATAATCTGACATTTACAGTGCAAAATGTCCTTTTGAATTGTATACCCCGCACATGGAACCTTACAAAAGGACAATATGACTTTGCCTTCTACATGGTTAAAAAAAATTGTCTCTAGAAAATGATTGCAAGGAAGGTCTCAGATGAAAAAACCATATGTGACTATGATGCTTGAAAAACTAGAAAAAATGAGTATTTTGAAAAATGTGCTTCCTGTTGTAAAAAGGTAAAGGTAAAGGTACCCCTGCCCGTACGGGCCAGTCTTGACAGACTCTGGGGTTGTGTGCCCATCTCACTCAAGAGGCCGGGGGCCAGCGCTGTCCGCAGACACTTCCGGGTCACGTGGCCAGCGTGACATCGCTGCTCTGGCGAGCCAGAGCTGCACCCGGAAACGCCGTTTACCTTCCCGCTAGTAAGCGGTCCCTATTTATCTACTTGCACCCGGGGGTGCTTTCGAACTGCTAGGTTGGCAGGCGCTGGGACCGAGCAACGGGAGCGCACCCCGCCGCGGGGATTCGAACCGCCGACCTTTCGATCGGCAAGCCCTAGGCGCTGAGGCTTTTACCCACAGCGCCACCCGCGTCCCGCTTCCTGTTGTAGAGGTGTCTAAAATAAAAGATTATACTGACTGTGAAAAAAACAACACTGCTTCAAGACTTCTTGGGAAAGTCGTTTGGAGTGTTAGGACACTGCATGTCAAAATGCATTTTCTCTTTCTGGGTTTGGTTTGGGTTTTTTTTTAAGAAATACAGTTCATTGGGAAACATGGAGGGAGAAAACCAGGTTTTGTTATGGTGGAGCTAATGTGTTTCCCCACATCCATAACCAGCCCAGGGGTCATTTGGAGGAGGGAATTGAAAGGAGGGAAGAGGTCTTTGCTTGGCTCCTCACTCACCCTGACAGGGTCTTTCAAGTACAATTCTTCTTAAATGATCCACTTCACCTTCCAATATCTGATGGGAGAGTCTCAGTGCTTCCCTTTCACTGGGTAGCTATTTGTTAAGAGCAGTTAACACACACACCCCGTGGACTCTATGAGGTCATGGGTATATTACTCTCTTTTGTGGACTGGCTTACCTGGTCCTCTGTGAGGTCACCCCCTCTGTACCTGCTGTGCTGCTGAAAGCCTCCAGGTCTGAGAGGCTGGTAGGAAGATCAGACCACAATATTTTAGAAATGTACAGGGAGCAAGCTTGATCTATTTTTACATCCAGCAATGGGAATGCTCATCAGATTGGCAGATGGCACAAAACTGGGAGGGGTTGCTAATGCTGCAGAAGAAAGAATCGGGATTGGGGGTGCCATTTGTCCTCTTTTTCCAGGACACGACCTCTATTTCATGAGCAATCTCATCATAGCGATCCATAGTTAAAAGCATAAGTGGGCAAATGTGTCCTCTTTTTTGCAACCCTACATTGAGCCCCAGCTAACAAAATGAATTTCAATAGGGACAAATTTTTGGTTGTGAACTTAGGAAGGAAGAACAAGATACACAAATATGGGGGACACCTGGTTTACTAGCAGTACATGCGAAAAGGAACTAGGAGTTTTGGTGGACCACACGCTAAACATGAGTCAGTTGTGTGATGCATCAGCAAAGCTAATGCTATTGTTAAGCCCTCGGAATGAATAAATGCTAGGATTTTGATTAATTGGGATATGGATTAAAACATAAATTGCAGAGCTGTTCCAGACAGGGAATTCCTGGGCCTGCTTATTGAAATCAACCTGGCTGACATAGGCTATTAACAATGGCTGACATAGGGGCCATTAACAATGGAAGGTGTTGTAAACAAAATTTGCCCTTTTCCCTTATGGGGTATCCAAGAGCCCATATAGAGTCCTTACATAGGTTCCCTATTGGTAGGAGAGAATAACAGAGGCCAACCAGAGAATATTGAGAAGCAAAGCAACTAGTAAGCTTGATCTTTATTGATCTGTTGCAACAAGGTGCTCCCCTCACCTGCAGGGGAGAGGAGGGACCCCGAAAAATGGCGTGCAAGGCCTTATCAAGACTTTTGAAATTGCCACCCTGTAGATCAAGACCACCCCCAGAAACATCATACATACATCACAGAAGGGGTGTAACCTAAGACCACCCCTCAGATACCTCATACCTACATCAAAGAAAAGGCGGTCTTAAAACAGAAATTTGAATATTGTTTTTCTCCTGTCGTTGTTTATCTCCTGTCTGCCAGGTTACTTGATTGGATTTCCTGGGGAGCCTGGCCATTCTTTTGTAATGATAAATACTTAGTTCCTGGGCCTTGTCACAGGCTCACACCCTATTCCTATATTAAATATGCCCTTAAGACAGGATTTGTGAGGAAAGAGACAATGGGAGGCTTCCCACTTTGACCTTGCAGAGAAAACATTTGCTCAGTTTAGGAATCAAAATGGTTCCAGGTCGGTCTTCCTGTGCTGATCTATGTACGGGTTTGGTTGGTACGTTTATGAACATTACCATATATCTAAGACCATAAAAGTCCTATCACAATATTGTAGCACTATGGCGGTGTGAGACCAGAGGAGTTACACCCCTTCTGTGATGTATGTATGTGCCAAATGTCCCACTGGTCTAACTCTGTGTTAGGCAGCTCCCCATGTTCCTAAGCATTCTAAATGGAGTGCATTTGTTAAGGAATGCAGACTCTCCAAGTTTCCATCCCTGTTTTTGATATGATCCTTAGGATGTCCCTATTTTCACTGGAGAAAAGCTGGGGAGTATGGGAATGACTCCATCTCACTAAGAACCAGGAGGCTACCAAGAAGCTGGGAATAATGTAGGATGTAACTTGCCCAAGTTCCCTCAATATTGTGGACCATTGTTCTTTGAATATGGTTGATCACCAGTGTTGTAGCAATGATTCTTCAACATCAACTTCATTGGACTGGTCATGTTGCGCGGATACCTGATGATCGTCTTTCAAAGCAACTACTCTATTCTGAATTTAAAAATGGAAAGCGTATTGCTGGTGGTCAACAAAAGAGGTTTAAAGACTGTCTCAAGGCAAATCTAAACACTGACAACTGGGAAACACAGGCCTGCGAGCGCTCCAATTGGAAAACAGCCTTTACCAAAGGTGTTATGGGCTTTGAACTCAGGACGCAAGGGAGAAACATGCTAAGACAAAGGCACGCTTGGCAAACCCTCACCGTGATCAACTTCCGCCCGGAAATGAATGTCCCCACTGTGGAAGGACGTGTGGATCCAGAATTCGCCTCCACATTCACTTACAGACTCATTGTTAAAACCGTGTTTATGGAAGACAATCTTACTTGGCTATGAGTGATCGCCACAGAAGAGGAAGAAAGAAGAATATTGTTGAAACAGAACATGGTTCAAATTCTGCATTGGTTGAGATGAAATCCCTCTTTACCCAGAAAAATAAATTAGAACTGTTTTTCCCCAAAAATATTTTTTTTCAAGGGAAAAAAGAAGAAACAATTTAACACAGCATCCACAATGGTTCCATCTGCAAAGTATGCTTTATCTATGCAAACAGAATGTTTTTGTTGTGTGTTTCTCTGGGTATTATAGAAATTACATTTAGCACCACTTTCATATCTAAGCAAATCCACATTCACCAAGCCTTTCTCTCCTGGCCATGCTAGCCACATCACAAGGGCAGTTGTGAGATTGTGTGAACATTAAATTGCCATTATTTGGGGAATCTTCTGCATGAAGCGTGTGTTGCTGCCACCTGTGCACAAATATGGGCATATCTCCATAGCAAAGCTATATTTAGATTATCTTCTTTGTGGTGTGTTTCATTTCCTTTTTTCTTTGTCTTCTAGTGAAGGCCTGAGGTCTTAAGCATTCAGAATTCCCCACTCTTTGTCCAAACAAGTGCCAAGAGATCTTGGCTGTCCTCCTCATTTTCAACTTCGCTCCGATTATACTATGACCCTAAAAAGGCTGCAAATTCAGGGATGAGAAGTGTGGGGTGGAAAAGGTAGGCATATGCAGAAGGGGGTTTTCCTTCTGGTGACGGCTGGACAGTCAATACCGTGGAACGGGAAAAGTGACCCAAGGAAAAGCACGGATCCCTTCTCCCCAGAGATGCATTCACACACACTTCACTTGGCAGTACCTCAGGACATTCTTTCCTCTCAAAACGTTCCAAGAGCTTTCTCCTGCAATTCCATATTTCAGGGACGTTATACTTCAGCGGTGGCCAACTCCCAGTTTGGGAGCTTGATCTGGCCCCGAGACAATTTTTTTCTGGCCCTTCAGAACCCTCTACTGTTATTGGCGCTGGCACATATATATAAATAGTGAGTGAGGGAGCCTGTTCCACTGCTGACCAGCTCTTACTGTCAGAAAGTTCTTCCTGATGTTTAGTTCAAATCTCCTTTTTTGTGTGACTTGAAGCCATTGGTATAAGTTCTCCCTTCCAGATCAGGTGAAAGCAAGCATGCTCCCTCTTCCATGTGACAGCCCTTGAGATATTTGAAGATGGCTCTCATATCTCCCCCAATCCCCTCTTTTTCAGATTAAAAATACCCAGCTCCTTCAACCACTCCTCATAAGGCTTGGTTTCCAGAATCTTGATCATCTTGGTTGCTCTCCTCTGCACACATTCCAGTTTTGAGAATCCAATTAAGACCCTCCCTCTCTTGGTTGCAGAATACCCGGCTATTTCACAGTTTATTAGGAACTGCATAACCTAAAGAGCAACTAGTGAGTTTTTAAGGAATCAGCAGAATGACACAATGGCATCAAATTATAAAAAGCTCAGTTCAAATTCTTGAGTGCAACTCATTTTTATGTCAGTCTCCACCTGAATGAAATGATAAATTCTTCTCCAGTGGACATGTAGCAGACTGACTCCTTTGGGGCAGTGTTATTTTTACCCTCTGCTGGTTTTTTGTGTGGTTGCTTGTGGATCCACAGGTGCCAGGAATGAAGATACCAGTTCAAACAGCACAGCTAACCAGGCCAGACCAACGACGATCCAAACGGCTGCGAGCATCTGGTAGCCCGGAAAATAGGTTCTGTCATGCTTCATCCCTGGAGACACAGAGAAAAGCAACAATAATGTGTGAGGAGGTGATGGTGATTTAAAGGGCCCACCAACTCAGTTTATCCAAACCTCATTAGGTCATTTTCACACCATACATTTAAAAACACATTTCTACCACTGAATTGGGAAAGGAGTACGACAAGGCTGTATTTTGTCTCCCTGCTTATTTAATTTATATGCAGAATACATCATGCGAAAGGCTGGGCTGGATGAATCCCAAGCTGGAATTAAGATTGCCGGAAGAAATATCAACAACCTCAGATATGCAGATGACACAACCTTGATGGCAGAAAGTGAGGAGGAATTAAAGAACCTTTTAATGAGGGTGAAAGAGGAGAGCGCAAAATATGGTCTGAAGCTCAACATCAAAAAAAACGAAGATCATGGCCACTGGTCCCATCACCTCCTGGCAAATAGAAGGGGAAGAAATGGAGGCAGTGAGAGATTTTACTTTCTTGGGCTCCATGATCACTGCAGATGGTGACAGCAGCCACGAAATTAAAAGACGCCTGCTTCTTGGGAGAAGGGCAATGATAGGCCTAGACAGCATCTTGAGAAGTAGAGACGTCACTTTGCCAACAAAGGTCTGTATAGTTAAAGCCATGGTTTTCCCAGTAGTGATGTATGGAAGTGAGAGCTGGACCATAAAGAAGGCTGATCGCCGAAGAATTGATGCTTTTGAATTCTGGTGCTGGAGGAGACACTTGAGAGTCCCATGGACTGCAAGAAGATCAAACGCATCCATTCTTAAGGAAATCAGCCCTGAGTGCTCACTGGAAGGACAGATCGTGAAGCTGAGGCTCCAGAACTTTGGCCACCTCATGAGAAGAGAAGACTCCCTGGAGAAGACACTGATGCTGGGAAAGATGGAGGGCACAAGGAGAAGGGGGCGACAGAGGACGAGATGGTTGGATAGTGTTTTCGAGGTTACCAGCATGAGTTTGACCAAACTGCGGGAGGTAGTGGAGGACAGAGGTGCCTGGCGTGCTCTGGTCCATGGGGTCATTAAGAGTCGGACACGACTAAACGACTAAACAACAACAAACCACTGAATTGTGGGAAGATGAACACAGGAAACTGCCAATGTCCTTATTACTGCCTACTCATGGTGGTTTGGGCTCATGATGCTGTTTGAGCCTGGTTGTGCTACCACATTTCCAATCGGTGCACATCCTATAACTTCCTGCTTAATAATAATAATAATAATAATAATAATAATAATAAATTTTATTTATATCCTGCCCTCCCCAGCTGAAGCCGGGCTCTGGGCGGCTGACAACAGTCAAATAATCCAACATTCTAAAAACATTTCATTATAAAAATTAATTAAAATCAAATTGGTGGCAACCATTAAGCAAAATTCTGTGCAATAAAAATAATTTATTATTTTTACCCCACCCATCTCACTGGGTTTCCCCAGCCACTCTGGGAGGCTTCCAGCATATATCAAAACATTATAAAACATACAACATTAAGATGTCTTCTAAAGGTTGTGTAATTCTTTATCTCCTTGACATCTGAAGGGAGGGTGTTCAACAGGGAGGGTGCCACCACTGAGAAGGCCCTCTGCCTGGTTCCCTGTAACCTCACTTCCCACAGGGGGGGAACCGCCAGAAGGCTCTCAGAGCTGGACCTCAGTGTCCAGGCTGAAAGATGGGGGTGGAGACGCTCCTTCAGGTATACAGGGCTGAGGCCGTTTAGGGCTTTAAAGGTCAGCACCAGCACTCTGAGTTTTATACCAGAAAGATTCTAGTTTATTATGTTGGCAACAGGGCAACCAAAATGGTCAAAGGCCTGGAAACGATGCCTTATGAGGAACGGCTAAGGGAGCTGGAGAAGAGGAGGTTCAGGGGTGATATGATAGCCATGTTCAAATATATAAAAGGATGTCATATAGAGGAGGGAGAAAGGTTGTTTTCTGCTACTCCAGAGAAGCAGACACGGAGCAATGGATCCAAACTACAAGAAAGAAGATTCCACCTAAACATTAGGAAGAACTTCCTGACAGTAAGAGCTGCTCGACAGTGGAATTTGCTGCCAAGGAGTGTGGTGGAGTCTCCTTCTTTGGAGGTCTTTAAGCAGAGGCTTGACAACCATATGTCAGGAGTGCTCTGATGGTGTTTCCTGCTTGGCAGGGAGTTGGACTCGATGGCCCTTGTGGTCTATTCCAACTCTATGATTCTATGATTCTATGTTTGCTCCAGTTGTTGGTCACAGGCAGCAGTTGTGGCAGTTGCTAGCTAAGAGAATTGTGCAAAATCACTGTCCAGGAAAGCATTTTCTTTCTTTCATGTTTGCTGCAACTAGCCCAACACCCTGCGACGCAGGAATCTTAAGGAAAGCATCCATGAAAAATGACGATCCAACCTCTGCTTAAAATCCTTCAAGGAAAGAGAGTCCACCACATCTCATGGGAGTTTGTTCCACTGCTGAACAGCTCTTACTGTCAGAATTTCCCCCCAAATGTTTAGTCAGCATCCCTTTTCTTGTAACTTGAAGAGATTGGTTTGTGTCCTCCCCTCCAGAGCAGGAGAAAACAAGCATACTCCCTCTTCCATGTGACAGCCCTTAAGATATCTGAAGATGGCTCTCATATCTCCTCTCAGTCTCCTCTTTTCCTGGCTAAACATACCCAGCTCCTTCAACCAATCCTCATAAAGCTTGGTTTCCAGACCCTTGATCATCTGTTCTTCAGAAACTTAAAATATGGTTTGGGTTCCAAATTATAATCATGGCAAGCCATCATTTTGGATGAAACCTGATCTGAGCTTTCATATTTTTCAGTACAACAGATTGGTTGCCACCAGTACCTTGAGGCCACAAATGACCTAGTATTATCTGTAGAACCTGTTGAGCCCACAAGATGAAAGTATTTTGAAAGCCTTACCTATTAGATAGTCTCCAAAACCAATGGTGCTGAGTGTAATAAATGTAAAATAGATAGCTTCACTATAATTCCAGCCCTCCATCCATTGAAAGAAGAACGATGGCAAAATAAGAAACATTAGAATTCCCGCACCCACAAACACGAAAACGTATCTTGCTGATTTCTGAAAAATAAAGGAAAAGAAAGGAAAAAAGAAAAAAGGCAGTTCTCATGCAACAGAGCTCAGTTCTCTCAACCTACAGCCATGCAGTGTGATTTTAGGCTGCATTAACAGATAAATTATAATAATTCCACCCTAGTCAGACTTCATCTGGAGCACAGTTTCCCGCTGATGTCACAGTTTTTGGTGGTTGAGCTCTATGGCAGTTACACTCATTCCTATTTGAAGGCAGAGCAAGCGTTAATATTCCTCGCTTAATTAGAGGGCATAATGCACATGTCTAATTTAGCCTTGTCTTCCTAATCAGATATGCATATGTATATGCAATATAATAGAAGAAGAGCCCTGCTGGATCAGGCAAGGGCCCATCTAGTCGAGGATCCTGTTCTCATCGAAGCTGACTAGATGCCCACAGGAAACCTGCAAACAGGACCTGAGTGCTGTCTATGTCTATAGCAGTCTATGTCGGCCTCAGTCTTGTGATAAAGTAACTGAATTACCTTGTTTTCTTTCCCAGACAGTTTCTCTGCACAGCTTTCGCAGATTCCTGAGACTGAAGAGCCAATATAGTTCAAGCAGAGGAGGTTGAAGGGGATTCCAAAGAGAGCAAAAATAACACAAAAGAGCTGACCTTCTTTCGTTTGGGGACAGAGGTTTCCGTAGCCTGTTGAAAAATGAAAAATGTGTTGCAAAGGACATCAACAACTGTCGATCTGCCAATTACCGTACCTAGAGAAGTTAGTATGGAAGTGAGAGCTGGACCATAAAGAAGGCTGATTGCCGAAGAATTGATGCTTTTGAATTATGAATCATAGAATCATAGAATCATAGAGTTGGAATAGACCACAAGGGCCATCAAGTCCAACCCCCTGCCAAGCAGGAAACACCATCAGAGCACTCCTGACATATGGTTATCAAGCCTCTGCTTAAAGACCTCCAAAGAAGGAGACTCCACCACACTCCTATGGTGCTGGAGGAGACTCTTGAGAGTCCCATGGACTGCAAGAAGATTAAACGCATCCATTCTTAAGGAAATTAGCCCTGAGTGCTCACTGGAAAGACAGATCCTGAAGCTGAGGCTCCAATACTTTGGCCACCTCATGAGAAGAGAAGACTCCCTGGAAAAGACCCTGATGTTGGGAAAGATGGAGGGCACAAGGAGGACGACAGAGGACAAGATGGTGGGACAGTGTTCTCGAAGCTACCAGCATGAGTTTGACCAAACTGCAGGAGGCAGTGGAAGACAGGAGCGCCTGGCGTGCTCTGGTCCATGGGGTCACGAAGAGTCGGACATGACTAAACAACAACAAGAGAAGTTACAGAGCAGGGTCCCTACAAAGGGTTGTTTCCAGTGGAGAGCAGCATGTACATTGAGACTGACTGTTCCTTCCTTTCCTCTCTCCTGTACAACCCCCAAATCTGCTCCAGAGGATCCCCATACCCTCTGGAGCAGACATTGAGGATGCTCAGAGGGGTACAGAGAGGAGAAGAGGTGTAAGTTTCATTGTGCAAGCAGAGGTCTGTGCACAACCGAAATGGCAGCCTTGAATACAGCCCAATGTATTTATTTTATGTACCGCACTCACTGACCTCCTTTATGCCGATGCACTTGGTGTTAGGATAATTATGTGGGAGCTTCAAGTGTCTCCCTCCTGTTCCTTGGACCGGACAGGCCCACTGTGGAAGAACTGACCTGAGATGCAATGGAAGAGGCCAAGTGTGCAGGTATGACTTTGGAGACCTTGTGAAACATTGGGTGAAATGAAGACTCATCATGGCAACCCCTTAAAAAACACACCAAAAGATTTAAAATATATTTGTAATATGAATCAGGAGTTCACTGCATTTTCGTGGCAATGAAAACAAATGTAGGTTCATCTGCAGTGAGGAGAGAGCGGAGTTCCTCCATTTGTCGCCATCATGGGGAGCTCAGAGGCGAGAGGTGGAAGGGCAGTTGGGTTACAGGGAGCCTCCAAAGATGGTGCGAAGCAGCTCTTCCTCCAGCGAGGAGGGAAGCCCCGCCTCCAGTGGGGAGGGGATGCAGGGATCGGAAGATGTTAGAGAGAGCCGCAACACCGAGCCTGAGCAAAGCGGGGGGGAGGCAAGTCCTCCTTTGCCAACACCCTCTCTGCGCAGTCGGTTTACGCGCAGAGAGGGGAGGAGAAGGATGGGGGTCAAAAGACTGTTATGCTGGGGAAAGTTTAAGGACCGCCCACTCCCAGATTCTGCTAGCGACTGAGCAGACATGGACTTGAGACACTCTGCACTGTAAATGTTTTTGTACCGATAATAAAGCCTGGAGAAGACCAGTGGGAGTCTTGCCTCTTCGCTCTCGAGCAACCTCGCCGGCACATAGCAATGGCTAAAATCAGTTACAATTCCCAAGCCCCAAAAGAACTTGATTTCTCTCAATTCCAGTGTGACCTGACCTGATCTGTGTGCCCCAGACTGGCCTGTGAATTGAAACATCCTTAATCTTCAGGTTTTTCACTTCCTCAAAATTTGTGATACAGTTATTGGATTAAAAAATGAATTCCAAAATATTTATTTTGGGAAAATTTAGAAATGTATTTGATGACATGTCTTTGGTGATGAAATAGGGCAAGCAAGGAGCGTTATCAGACAGAGGAACCACCATTATGCCCAGCTACCCATAATAGCCCTCAGAGTAAGCCTTCAGAGCATCTGCTCAGCAAAACCTCCATTTTAGCTTCTTTTGAGATTGGACTCAATAAAGACTTGACTGATCTATACACTACTTAATTCTTATTAATTAATTAATTCTTATTCAGAATGCAAATTGGCTGCTGATGTAAGAAGAGTCATTAATTAAGAGGCTGAAAAACAAAGCAAAAAGCTTATCTTAAATTATTGATGATCTATAACGTTTCCCAACAGATAAGGATGATCTGGTTAGCTCAAAATCTTAATCTTATATTACTTTTAACTCTCCATCCTGGTGCTGCTTATAAAAGTGAGATTGAATCCACTAGCATGGGAATAGTAATAATATAATTTTAATTTATTATTTATGTCGCCCATCTGACTGGGTTGCCCCAGCCACTCTGGGTGGCTTCCCCTGCCACGCAGAAAAAAATACTTCGGTCTTGTCAGGATTCAACCTCAAACCGTTGGAATGGAATGCACTGTTTACTTAAAGGGACAGACACAAGTTTTCAAAGCAGAGGCTGCTAAGGGAGAGATGAACAGAACTCATTATGGCAAAGACATTGATTGTTGGCATCATTCCACAATTATTGGATGAGCAATTGCAAGAGCTCACAGATGAGATGCACAGAATGGGGAATGAAAATGTATCAGAGAAAGACCAGAATTCTTTAAAACTCATAGAAGCTTTGGGGGAAAATAGTGATCAACATATGGCAGAGATAGAGAAAGGATCTTGTGTACAGGTGGAATTGAACTCAGAGGGAAAAACCACCAAGCATCTGGCAATTCATAGAATTGTAGAATAGTGCTTCACACCAGAAAGCTTAACCAGAGGTTTCCAAACTGTATGTCACAGCACATTAGTGTTTCAGCTGCAGTTTGTAGCTGTGTCGCGCGAAGGATGGAAAAGAATTAGTTTAACCACGAGTTTGCTAGTAAAACTGAATTACTGTGTCACAAAATGTATAAAAAGTGTGTCACCAACATGAAAAGTTTGGAAAGCTCTGGATTAGACAGTGCTAACAGGGTAGGTTCTCCCACTCATTCAGTGCATGGTTTTCTGCATTGAAAGAATTCATCCAGACAAAAAAGGGATGTGATTTTTTGTGTATTTTGTAGCTTACTGGAAAGAAGTGGCAATCCTATGCAAAGATGAGATTTGAAGGATGATTAAAGAACAAAAGCAAAGCCTGCAGCTTAACACAATTTATCTGAGCGAGACCAGTCGGATGGCCTGCATATTATTTTCGGGGAGAAGCCAGCCAGAACCAAATTGTCACTTCCAGCTAGTTGCTACGGAAGATGGCTGAAAATTCCATCGTCTCCATTTCACACGGGTAATTAGAGGCTGAGATGGGAGTAATCAGCCTCCTAAACCCCTCCAGGGCCAGAGGGAGCAGTCTCATCCGCGGTCGCCCAACACCTGGCCCCAAATCCGGAAGGAATAAGGGGCTGGGGGTGCTGTATGGAAAGCCCCCACACGATTCTGTCACTCTCTGAAGCTGTCTCCACGAGCAACAAGTCTCCATTTCTTAAGATGAAAAATTGGATTTAAACAATTAATTCAGCCTCTGAAGACTTGAATGGAAAAGGGATTATCATCTGAGGTGCCAGTCTGACGGAACAGAAAGTGGGGGTGAGCCTTTATTTACTTTACTTCGATATTTGCCTTCGTGATAACATTTGGCAAATCCCCTCTGGAAGGAACGACTAGCGGATTTTTTTATGAAAGCAAGTGAGATTAAAAATTTTGCATTTGTTGATATAATAAGGTTTTAACAGCTCTAATAATTACTAACTGTGTGGAAATGACTGGGGGGGGAGGAAAATCAAGGTTTTCAACTCTTGGTTTCCTGGAAGAAGATCAAAAGACTCCCTGATTTATTATATTGGAGTAGAAGCGACTTCTCATTAACAACTGGAGAGATGCCAAAGAGATCTGGATATTTGCCTGGGAGGTTTGTGACGCAGCATTAATCTGGAAGGAGGGAAACTGAAAGTAGATTGACCAGCTATCTGAATCAAATTGTATAGCTATGGGGGGGTGTAAACCTCTAATATTTTACTCTTCGATACTTGTATTTCCAGATTTACTTGGTAAAGCCCCTCCGGGAAAAGCTAATGTTTGAATAAAGGTAAAGGTAAAGGTAAAGGGACCCCTGACCATTAGGTCCAGTCTTGACCAACTCTGGGGTTGCGGCGCTCATCTCGCTTTATTGGCCGAGGGAGCCGGCGTACAGCTTCCGGGTCATGTGGCCAGCATGACTAAGCCACTTCTGGCAAACCAGAGCAGCGCACGGAAACACAGTTTACCTTCCCGCCAGAGCGGGACCTATTTATCTACTTGCACTTTGAGGTGCTTTTGAACTGCTAGGTTGGCAGGAGCAGGGACCGAGCAACGGAAGCTCACCCCGTCGCGGGGATTCGAACCACCGACCTTCTGATCGGCAAGTCCTAAGCTCTGTGGTTTAACCCACAGCGCCACCCGCGTCCTAATGTTTGAATAGCAGTTGTTTAAGGAACAACATAGGGAAGACGCCATGATTTGATTCTATTTGGACTGCGTGTCAATATGGCCGCCGCCTACAGTGGAAGTCTCCTGGGCTGATTTGGCAGAAACACCAGCTTGAGAAGAGAGGATGTGAATTTACAGAGGGGAAGCTTGGATTACAGATTGGGAGCATGAAGAAGAAGGGGGGGGGGACATAAAACCCACACAGAAATATATTGTTTTCACTTAACTCACTTGCAGAATGAACGCAGAGGCTGCTGAAAATAATGATTAACATCAGAATGAATTATGGGAATTATTGTAATGATTATGAAAAGCAGCAGAACTATGAGGTGATTAGGATTCCCTCAGATCTCGAAGCATGGGAAGTCAGCTCAAAATTTATAATTAGGCATAATATTGGAACTGTTCGATTATTGGATAATTTGTATAATTTGGAATATATAATATGGTTTGATTGGATTGTTAAAATGGAAATTTAATAAATATTATTTAAAGAAAGAAAGAACCAAATTACCAATTGTGGATAACATAGTGCCCACGAAGAAGAAAGAATGAGTGAAATCCCAGCTGCTGTGTTTTTCATGAGGATGGGTTCCTACTGGATCTATTCCCGACCGAACAGCTTTTACCAGTTTCTGCAATTGAATGCAAGACTCAGTTTGAATATTCCAACAATAGGAATAGCCCCTCCTCTGATTATCACCAGATACTGCTAACCAAATCGCTATGCATTCAGAAGGGACGTTCTTGTGGATCAGTCCAGCACGTTCTTCCCCCAGGGGCCAGCTCAATGCTCATGGGAAGCCCACAAACAAGACCTGAGCACAACAGCCCTCCCCTCACTTGTCACCCCCAGTAACTGGTAGGCATAGGGCTTATGCACACTCAACTTTTCAACTTAATAATAATAATAATAATAATAATAATAATAATAATTTATATATACCCCGCCCATCTGGCTGGGTTTGTTTGAAGACCATAAGGTCCTTTGTGGGACATACCAGGAGAGGCGGTTCTGTAGGTATGAGGGTCCTAAGCTGTATAGGGCTTTAAAGGTTAAAACCAGCACCTTAAACCTGGCCCTGTACTCCACCAGGAGCCAGTGCAGCTGGTATAGCACTGGGTGAATGTGACCCCGTAACGAGTCTCGCCACGGCATTCTGCACCCGCTGGAGTTTCTGGGTCAGTCTCAAGGGCAGCCCCACATAGAGTGAGTTACAATAATCCAGACTGGAGGTGACCGTCGCGTGGATCACAGTGGCTAGGTCAGGGTGAGAGAGGTAAGGAGCCAACTGCTTAGCTTGGCGGAGATGGAAAAATGCCGCCTTTGTTATAGCCTGCAATCTGCGCCTCCATGGAAAGGGAGGTGTCAAAGATTACACCCAAACTCTTAACGGACAGTGCTGGCACTAATTGCGCCCCAGCAAGAGATGAGAGTTGCCCCCCCCCAATCCCATATTGTCCCGACCCAGCCAAAGTACCTCTGTCTTCGAATAATAATGAAAATAATAATAATTTATTATTTATACCCTGCCCATCTGGCTGGGTTTCCCCAGCCACTCTGGGAGGCTTCCAACAAAACACTAAAATACAATAACCTATTAAACATTAAAAGCTTCCCTAAACAGGGCTGCCTTCAGATGTCTTCTAAAAGTTTGGTACTTATTTTTCTCTTTGACATCTGGTGGGAGGGTGTTCCACAGGGCGGGTGCCACTACCGAGAAGGCCCTCTGCCTGGTTCCCTGTAACTTGGCTCCTCGCAGTGAGGGAACCACCAGAAGGCACTGGATCTCGGCACTGGACCTCAGTGTCTGGGCAGAACGTTGGAGGTGGAGATGCTCCTTCAGGTATACTGGACCGAGGCCGCTGCTTGTGGTCTGCACCAAGCTTTCCCAGTGAAAACTGTGATTTATGTTTGAGTTGTTGAAAGTGATGCAGCGGTTTCACCCTCAAAGCTTAGTGATAAAGTAGACTCCTTACACTCCTTACACAAGACTTAAAGACGAGTCTTGACTTGTCAGGATGGCAACTAGGGCTTTTTTAGCCGGAACTCTCTGGAACTCAGTTCCGTCACCTCTCAAGTGGGCAGCATTGCATTTATCGGAGAAGGAAGGAGGTGTTCGTGGTGAGTTCCAAGATCTCCCGGCACCGTTTTTCCAAGAAAAATAGCACTGATGGCAACACTGTCAGAAGTTGTATTGTTTATATATCAAGTTCAATACTAAGTGTTTCTCTCCTTCCTCCAAAAACATACACTCCATCAATTTGCCTAATCCTCTATGGGGATAATATTCCACATGCAGAAGGAAGGCTCTATGCTGGCCACTGATTCTGTCCCCACCTCAATTCCCACCTCCTAAACTTTATTCCCCCCATATATACTTTTTGACCTCTTAACCTCTGGTGTCATGCCACGGTCATCCCTTTCAGTCTTGCTAAAGTGATACCTTACCCGTATGAATAACTCCACTTCTTCTGGGGTGAGAGCGGTGTAGTTCAAAAAAAATTCCTCCTTCATGTGAAACGTTGCCTCTTCTACTTTTTTGTGGTGATCGTTCTCCAGAAGCTCAAAGACGAAGGCACCCATCACAACGTAAGTTAAGAGGCCAGCCAGCAGTAGGACGCCCTGTGCCCTGCTTACATGCATGTTGTTCTGTGTGGGAATGAGGGCCAAGGAAGAAGCAGACACAAGAGCGACTATAGTTTAGTAAGCGAGTCCTTATTTGTCTTGACCCAGACTCAACAGTACAGCCCCATAGCTGGGCACTCTCCATAACTGGGCCCAAGCTAATGAAATGAATTTCAACAGGGAAGTTTCTGCACTTAGGCAGGAAGAACCAGATGCACAAATAGAAGATTGGGGACACATGGCTAAGTAGCAGTACATGTGAAAAGGATCCAGGGTTCTTGGTGGACCACAAGCTGAACGTGTGTTGTTAATACCACAAGGTTTATCTAAATTAGTATTTTTAAACATCAATGAAATGTATCATGACTTATCAATGGATATCAAGAGATAGCAGTTATTGAACCTGACCCTGTGGAGAAAGGTCAGTGCTCTTAAACTGAACATAATACCTAGACTAGTTTATATCTTAAGAGAAATTCCAATTCATATACTGAGCAAATACTTTCACAATATTAAATCTTTGTTTAGAAAATGCATTTGGGGCTCTTCAGTTCCAAGAATTCATAAAACAGGAGGATTCGGGATCCCAGATTAAGAAGTGTATCACCAAGCATATTTACTGTCAGGTACACAATTCTGGAGACCCACAACTGAACATAACTGTCTAGATTGGGTACCTTAGAATATTCCTACGTAGCACTGCAAGAAAGATGGGTGGCACTCGGGTCTAAATACGTTAATATTCGAGGTACTACTGAAACAACAACATCAGTTCAAACAATTTGGCATCACATGCCCAAAAAATATACATTTGACCTCTTCTCCCATGACAAAATGACTTTGTGGGGAAACCCATCTTTAAAAATCAGGACAGAAATGGTTGTATGGAAGAGGTGGATGAATTTGGATATACTAATGTTAGACCAGCTGATAAATGAAGAGGATGTATCTTATACATATTCCTTTTGAAGAGACAAATACAGACTACCTACAATGGCAATATCTCCTGATATTGCTAACCACCATCTACGGAACAGCTACTTTTACAGCCTCAGAGACCCCAGAGATAAGAAAGCAGTTGATTCATTCTTATGCAGCAAAAAACGGCCATCAACATACAATGGTACCTCGCAAGACGAACGCCTCGCAAGACGGAAAACTCGCAAGACGAAAGGTTTTTTGGTTTTTTGAGTTGCTTCGCAAGACAATTTTCCCTATGGGCTTGCTTTGCAAGACGGAAATGTCTTGCAAGTTTGTTTCCTTTTTCTTAAAACCGTTAATACAGTTGCGACTTGACTTCGAGGAGCAACTCATAGCACGCGGTGTGGTAGCCTTTTTTGAGGTTTTTGAAGACTTTGGTGATTTTTGAAGCTTTTCCAAAACTTTTCCGACACCGTGCTTCGCAAGACGAAAAAATCGCAAGACGAAAAAACTCGCGGAACGAATTAATTTCGTCTTGCGAGGCACCACTGTATATAAATCAATTTTATGTACAGGTACTGAGGGAGGGATGGGAAAAAGAATTAGAGACCTCAATTTTCACCTCACAGTGGGAAACTCTTTTAAGTGCCTTAACAGGGGATCTCTGTACCTTAAATTGAAGCTCATACAACAAAAAATAAAATTTTGAATATACTGGACCCCATTACATTTGTTTAGTAAAGGGCTATCTAAGGTATCTAACTGTTGGAGATGCACTCGGTAAAATGTGTTTTTCATTGTCCTATATTGAAAGATTTTTGGCAGAAGGTAACAGAAGCTATCAACAGAACTGTACGGAATAATCTGACATTTACAGTGTAAAATATCCTTTTGAATTATATACCCAGGAAATGAAACCTTATGAAAGGACAATATGAGTGGACTCTCCATGCCCTTACCACGGCAAAAAGATGAATACTGATGAATTGGAAAAATAAAAGTGTGGCACTCAGATGACAAAAACCATATGTGAATATGTTGCTAGAAAGACTAGAAAAAGTGAGTATTTTGAAAATGGTGCTTCATGTTGTATAGGTGTCTAAAATAAAAGATTATACTGACTGTGAAAAATCAAGACTGCTTCGATGACTTCTCGGGAAAGTCGGTTAGGACACTGCATGTCAAAACACACTTTCTCTTTCTGGGTTTGGTTTGGTTTCTTAAGAAATACAGTTCATTGGGAAACATGGAGGGAGAAAACCAGGAGGTTTTGTCATGGTGGAGCTAGTGTGTTTTCCCACATCCATAACCAGCCCAGGGGTCATTTGGAGGAGGGAATTGAAAGGAGGGGAGAGGTCTTTGCTTGGCCCCTCACTCACCCTGACAGGGTCCTTTGATTCTAATTCTTCTTAAATTATCCACTTCATCAACTCCCAGTATTTGATGGGAGAGTCTCAGTGGCTTCCTTTCACTGGGTAGCTATTTGGGAGGAGCCGCTTAACCCCCTCCCACAAGGGCTCTATGAGGTCATGAGTACATTCCCCTCTTTTACTTACCTGGTCCTCTGTGAGGTCACCCCCTCTGTACCAGCTGGGCTGCTGACAGCCTCTAGGTCTGAAAAGCTGGTAGGAAGATCAGCCCACAGTATTTTAGAAATGTACAGGGAGCAAGCTTGATCTATTGTCAAGCAATGGGAATGCTCATCAGATTTGCAGATGCCACCAAACTGGGAGGGGTAGCTAATGCCACAGAAGAAAGAATCAGAATTTAGGGTTGCCATTTCTCCTCTTTTTCCAGGACATGCCCTCTTTTTCATGGGCAGTATCTTCATAGCGATCCATAAAAAAGTAGCAGCTTAGAGGCCAACTAAGTATGTTCTGGGTATAAGCTTTGGTGAAGCTCTGAAGAAGTGTGCATGCACACAAAAGCTTATAACCAGAACATACTTAGAGACCAACTAAGTGTGGTCTCTAAGGTGCTACTGGGCCATTTTTTTATTTATTTTGACTGTGTCAGATCAACACAGTTACCTGCCTGAATCTAATAGCGACCCATAGTTAAAAGCAGAAATCGGCAAATGTGTCCTCTTTTTACAACCCTCAATTGAACCCAAGCTAACAAAATGAATTTCAGTAGGGTTCTGCACTTAGGCAAGAAGAACCAGATGCACAAATATAGGATGGGGGACACCTGGCTTACTAACAGTACATGCAAAAAGGATCTAGGGATTTTGGTGGACCACAGGCTGAACATAAGTCAATAGTATGATTCAGCAGCAAAGCTAATGCTATTGTTAAACCCTCGGAATGAATAAATGCTAGGATTTTGGTTAATTGGGATATGGATTAAAACATAAACTGCAGAGCTGTTCCAGACAGGGAATTCCTGGGCTGGCTTATGCAAATTAACCTGGCTGACCCAGGGCTATCAAGAGTACAATAGGGGTCATTAACAATGCAAGGGAACTTCTCTCTTGCCCCTAGGTGTGAATCAACATTGGAGATTTGGGAGGTTGCCATGGTACCTGTTCTGGGGGAGGGCAAGGGGTTTCTGGGAGAAAGAAGGAGGGGGGGGAAAGAGCTCCATCTTGGAGAGAGAGGCAGCAGGATGCTTGTACTGCTGCCTCTTGAACTGACAATGTCGTAAGATCTGGACTCCTTCCATGCAGACTGAAGGTGTAAATACTTATTTTTCCATGTATAAGACTACTGGTATATTTCCCCCAAAAAAATTAAGGTTCAAAATTGGGTGTCGTCTTAAAGTACGACAGTTTCCGCCGTGTCGTCTATTCTCCAAAGTGACTCTAGGCTACATCAACAGTAACACAGAGAATGTATTTAGAGTAAACTCCAAAAAAGCAAAAGCAAATAAATGGCCAGGAGATTGTCTAATAACTTTCACCACCAATAAACTAAGGAATAAAATCTTGCAGACTAAGGGTCAAAGAAAATTTAGAATCAAGGCAAAAGAGATTATAATCCTGAAAGAATTCCTATTGAAAAAAAGAGACAAATTCCAATTTCTGGCTAAAGCATTGAAAGCCAAACCAATAAACTATAAGTGGGAGTTTCTGGAAGGAATATCATTCAACATCAAGGAGAAGAGACAAATATTTGAGTCAGTTAAGGAGGCTAATATTTCTTGGAGGAAATATTGGAAGAAGTTAGGAGGGGAAAGACAGCCAATAGAGGGAGATCCCAATATTAAACAGGTGGTTTCAGATCGTGAAAGTGAGAGTGAGTAAGCAACACAACATGCCCTGTAGGAATTTTTTCTTTCCCCCTTTTTTTCTCTTTTGTTCATTTCTATGTTCTTTAATTCACTAGGACTTAATCACCGTAATTTTCCTCTCTGTTCTGTTTTTAAAAATTAAGGGTGACTTTAAAAATACTTACATGGAGCGTAAATCGTTTGAACGACAAAAAGAAGAGAAACAAAGTAGAGCATATAGTGATTAAACAAAAACTGGATATAATTTGCATACAAGAAACATAAGAAAACATAAGAGAATATTGATAAATCCCAAACTAGAAGTAGAATTTATATCCTCAGACCAAACAAAAAAAGAGAGGAGTGGTGCTTTACCGTATTTTTCGCTCTATAAGACGCATGTTTTCCCTCCTAAAAAGTAAGGGGAAATGTGTGTGTGTGTTATGGAGTGAATGCAGGCTGCATGGCTAAGCCAGAAGCTAGAACAGCGAGAGGGATTGCTAGCTTCTGGCTTAGCCGCGTGAAGCCTTTTCAGGGCACGGGGAGACTTCATCCCGCTGCCCTGAGGAGGCTTCGCGTGGCTCTTGTGGGCTTTTGCGGGAGGTAGGGGAAGAGACAGAGGGCAGCCCCTCAGTCCCTCCCCCCACCTCCCGGAAAAGCCCCCAAGGGCCGCGCTCCCTTTAAAGAGCCACACAGAGCGTGTGTGTGGTTCTTGGGGGCTTTTCCCTGAGGAGGGAGAAGGGCAGCCCGTCAGTGGAAAAGCCTGCAAGCACTGCACACACGCTCCACGCGGCTTGTGAAAGGGAGCGCTGAGCAGAGCCTGGGAT